ATTTCAAAAAAATTCCTACGCACATGCAAGATCATGGTGATGCACAGCAACGAGAGGGGAGAGTGTTGTCTACGTACCAACGCAGACCGACTGCGGAAGAGATCACACAACATAGAGGAAGTAGTCGTACGTTTTCCCGATCCGACCGATCCAAGCACCGTTACTCCGGCACCTCCGAGTTCTTAGCACACGCACAGCTCGATGACGATCCCCGGGCTCCGATCCAGCAAAGCGTCGGGGAAGAGTTCCGTCAGCACGACGGCGTGGTGACGATCTTGATGTTCTACCGTCGCAGGGCTTCGCCTAAGCACCGCTACAATATGATCGAGGTGGAATATGGTGGCAGGGGGCACCGCGCACGGCTATGGAACGATCACGGGGATCAATTGTGTGTCTAGAGGTGCCCCCTGCCCCTGTATATAAAGGAGCAAGGGGGGAGAGGTGCGGCCAGCCTTGGGGCGTGCCAGGAGGAGTCCTACTCCCTCTGGGAGTAGGATTCCCCCCAATCCTAGTTGGAATAGGAATCCTCAAGGGGGGAAAGAGAGAGGGGGGGGGCGGCTACCTCTCCTAGTCCTAATAGGTCTAGGGGAGGGGGGAGGCGCGCGGCCACCTTGGGCTGCCCCTTTCTCCTTTCCACTTAAGGCCCATGAAGGCCCATATGGCTCCCGGGGGATTCCGGTAACCTTCCCGGTACTCCGGTAAAATCCCGATTTCACCCGGAACACTTCCGATATCCAAACATAGGCTTCCAATATATCAATCTTTATGTCTCGACCATTTCGAGACTCCTCGTCATGTCCGTGATCACATCCGGGACTCCGAACAACCTTCGGTACATCAAAATGCATAAACTCTTAATATAACTGTCATCGTAACCTTAAGCGTGCGGACCCTACGGGTTCGAGAACAATGTAGACATGACCGAGACACGTCTCCGGTCAATAACCAATAGCGGGACCTGGATGCCCATATTGGCTCCTACATATTCTACGAAGATCTTTATCGGTCAGACCGCATAACAACATACGTTGTTCCCTTTGTCATCGGTATGTTACTTGCCCGAGATTCGATCGTCGGTATCCAATACCTAGTTCAATCTCGGTGCCGGCAAGTCTCTTTACTCGTTCCGTAATACATCATCTCACAACTAACTCATTAGTTGCAATGCTTGCAAGGCTTATGTGATGTGCATTACCGAGAGGGCCCAGAGATACCTCTCCGACAATCGGAGTGACAAATCCTAATTTCGAAATACGCCAACCCAACATCTACCTTTGGAGACACCTGTAGAGCTCCTTTATAATCTCCCATTTACGTTGTGACATTTGGTAGCACACAAAGTGTTCCTCCGGTAAACGGGAGTTGCATAATCTCATAGTCATAGGAACATGTATAAGTCATGAAGAAAAGCAATAGCAACATACTAAACGATCGGGTGCTAAGCTAATGGAATGGGTCATGTCAATCAGATCATTCAACTAATGATGTGACCTCGTTAATCAAATAACAACTCTTTGTTCATGGTTAGGAAACATAACCATCTTTGATTAACGAGCTAGTCAAGTAGAGGCATACTAGTGACACTAAGTTTGTCTATGTATTCACACATGTATTATGTTTCCGGTTAATACAATTCTAGCATGAATAATAAACATTTATCATGATATAAGGAAATAAATAATAACTTTATTATTGCCTCTAGGGCATATTTCCTTCAGTCTGTACATGCTAGGCTCGTCAACACCCGTTGTATTCGAACGTAAGAATCTATCACACCCGATCATCACGTGGTGCTTCGAAACGATGAACTTTCGCAACGGTGCACAGTTAGGGGGAACACTTTCTTGAAATTTTAATGAGGGATCATCTTATTTACTACCGTCGTTCTAAGCAAATAAGATATATAAACATGATAAACATCACATGCAATCAAATAGTGACATGATATGGCCATCATCACTATGCTCCTTTTGATCTCCATCTTCGGGGCTCCATGATCATCATCGTCACCGGCATGAAACCATGATCTCCATCATCATGATCTCCATCATCGTGTCTTCATGAAGTTGTCTCGCCAACTATTACTTCTACTACTACAGCTAACGGTTAGCAATAAAGTAAAGTAATTACATGGCGTTGTTCAATGACACGCAGGTCATATAATAAATAAAGACAACTCCTATGGCTCCTGCCGGTTGTCATACTCATCGACATGCAAGTCGTGATTCCTATTACAAGAACATGATCAATCTCATACATCACATATCATTCATCACATTCTTCTTGGCCATATCACATCACATAGCATACCCTGCAAAAACAAGTTAGACGTCCTCTAATTGTTGTTTGCATGTTTTACGTGGCTGCTATGGGTTTCTAGCAAGAACGTTTCTTACCTACGCAAAAACCACAATGTGATATGCCAATTTCTATTTACCCTTCATAAGGACCCTTTTCATCGAATCCGATCCGACTAAAGTGGGAGAGACAGACACCCGCTAGCCACCTTATGCAACTAGTGCATGTCAGTCGGTGGAACCAGTCTCACGTAAGAGTACGTGTAAGGTCGGTCCCGGCCGCTTCATCCCACAATGCCGCCGAATCAAGATTGGACTAGTAACGGTAAGCATATTGAACAAAATCAACGCCCACAACTACTTTGTGTTCTACTCGTGCATAGTAACTACGCATAGACCTAGCTCATGATGCCACTGTTGGGGAACGTAGCAATAATTCAAAATTTTCTACGTATCACCAAGATCAATCTATGGAGTCATCTAGCAACGAGGGAGGAGTGGATCTACATACCCTTGTAGATCGCGCGCGGAAGCGTTCAAGAGAACGGGGTTGATGGAGTCGTACTCGTCGTGATCCAAATCACCGATGATCCTAGCGCCGAACGGACGGCACCTCCGCGTTCAACACACGTACGGAGCAGCGACGTCTCCTCCTTCTTGATCCAGCAAGGGGGGAGGAGAGGTTGATGGAGATCCAGCAGCACGACGGCGTGGTGGTGGAAGTAGCGGGATTCCAACAGGGCTTCGCCAAGCGCTGCGGGAGGAGGGAGATGTGTCATGAGAGGGAGAGGGAGGCGCCAGGGCTTAGGTATGGTTGCCCTCCCTCCCCCCCACTATATATAGGGCCAAGGGAGAGGGGGGGGGCGCAGCCTTGGCCCTTCCTCCAAGGAAGGGTGCGGCCAGGGAGGAGTCCATCCTCCCCAAGGCACCTCGGAGGTGCCTTCCCCTTTTAGGACTCTTCCTTTCCTTATCTCTTGGCGCATGGGCCTCTTGGGGCTGGTGCCCTTGGCCCATACAGGCCAAGGCGCACACCCCTACAGCCCATGTGGCCCCCCGGGGTAGGTGGCCCACCCGGTGGACCCCCGGGACCCTTCCGGTGGTCCCGGTACAATACCTGTAACCCCGAAACTTGTCCCGATGGCCGAAATAGCACTTCCTATATAATTCTTTACCTCCGGACCATTCCGGAACTCCTCGTGACGTCCGGGATCTCATCCGGGACTCCGAACAACTTTCGGGTTACCGCATACTAATATCTCTATAACCCTAGCGTCATCGAACCTTAAGTGTGTAGACCCTACGGGTTCAGGAGACATGCAGACATGACCGAGATGACTCTCCGGTCAATAACCATCAGCTGGATCTGGATACCCATGTTGGCTCCCACATGTTCCACGATGATCTCATCAGATGAAACACAATGTCAAGGACTTAATCAATCCCGTATACAATTCCCTTTGTCTAGCGGTACGATACTTGCCCGAGATTCGATCGTCGGTATCCCGATACCTTGTTCAATCTCGTTACTGGCAAGTCTCTTTACTCGTTTCGTAACACATCATCCCGTGACCAACTCCTTGATCACATTGTGCACATTATGATGATGTCCTACCGAGTGGGCGCAGAGATACCTCTCCGTTTACACGGAGTGACAAATCCCAGTCTCGATTCGTGCCAACCCAACAGACACTTTCGGAGATACCTGTAGTGTACCTTTATAGCCACCCAGTTACGTTGTGACGTTTGGCACACCCAAAGCACTCCTACGGTATCCGGGAGTTGCACAATCTCATGGTCTAAGGAAATGATACTTGACATTAGAAAAGCTTTAGCATACGAACTACATGATCTTGTGCTAGGCTTAGGATTGGGTCTTTGTCCATCACATCATTCTCCTAATGATGTGATCCCGTTATGAATGACATCCAATGTCCATGGTCAGGAAACCGTAACCATCTATTGATCAACGAGCTAGTCAACTAGAGGCTTACTAGGGACATGGTGTTGTCTATGTATCCACACATGTATCTGAGTTTCCTATCAATACAATTCTAGCATGGATAATAAACGATTATCATGAACAAGGAAATATAATAATAACTAATTTATTATTGCCTCTAGGGCATATTTCCAACACTTTTACCAAGTTGTAATGGCTATAAGGCCGTGTATCTGGAGCCCTCGAGCCCATCTCTTATACCTAGGATGAAACCCTAGCCACCATGTCCTCGATGGCCATATAGGTGTATCCTAAAGTGGGCTAAATTACTCACAATCATCTTCGATTTCTTTCCACTTTATGTGTTGATCTTCTTAAGTGAGCACTAGGATTGGTCCGTGCGTGACACACAGCCCCGTCGCCGTCGACGTCGGCCGGGCTTCACTCTCCAGTGCGCTCTGGCGGTGACGGGGGGAGGGAAGGACTAGAGACCCGCTACGTCGGCAAGGGTTAGACGCGGGTCCCCTTCGTTTACCGCTTTGTGTAGGGAGTTAGTCGTACAGTTTTGTTATTTTGTGTTTTAACAGGGATGTTTATACAATTGGAGAGGCAGTCTCCCTCCCCTAGATGCGCCCCATGTTTTCCTCATCTAATCACAATCCAGATATTTCTTCGAAAAAAAAGTAAACAAGCAGCACCAATGGCATCGCCGCCGCCGTGGTCCGAGTCCGACGACCTCTTGGGTCTCTTCGCCGCCGTGCTCCATGGGGCGTGCTGTTCCAGCTAGCACTCCGTTGCTTCCCAGCCATTTTCCTCGCCGTGGTCGGAGCTCCCAGAGGAGATCCTGGGTCTCGTGCCATGGCCTCCCGATGATAACCCCCCCCCCCAGTTCGTGTGCCTTTGATCATAAGCCCCCCTTTGTGTCACTGACATGTGGGGTCCGGTCCCACATGTCAGTGACACAAACGGGGGCTTATGATCAAAGGCACACGAACTGGGGGGTTATCATCAAATGCCCCTAACCTGGCAGGGAATAACACACGAACTGGGGGGGTTATCATCAAATGCCCCACCTGGCAGATCGCGCCCGCTTCCAAGCGGTGTGCCGCTCCTGGCGCTCACCGGCTTCCTCTCCGCTGCCGCAGCTGCCGTGGATGCAAGCGGTAATTCTTTCCTGGCAATCAGTTTTCTCCCCGCCTCCGCCGCGACGGCCATGGAATTGGATCCACGCGGTGTGCCGTCGTTCGCCGCAGCGGCGGACACCTTGGATTGCGCTACATGGCGGCTTCTACAATAAGCACGGGCGCGCCCGCACTCACCCTGGAGGGTGCAGACGAAATCGGTAATTTTTCCTATCTCCATGGCTAATTCCAGCTTAAATATGTAAAATTTCGATCTGATGTACACCGGATGATTCTCCTCCTAGGTCCGCCGATGACGACCAGGAGTGCATCGCGTTCAGACGCCGGAATAGCAACCCCTCCTTCCCCGACAACTTGCGGTGCATTGGCTCCACGGATAGCTGGCTCGTCCTCGACTACACTGACGATCGGAGAAAAATTCATACCTATTTCTTGCACAATCCTTTCTCTAAAGAAGTTGTGTTGCTACCAGAGCTGGATGCCATCGTTGGTAATAGTTCCAAGTTATTTCAGATCCGCAAGGTGCTCATTCGGTCGCCCCCTGATGACCAGCTCGTCATTATCATGACCAACAACTGGAATTATCCAATCATCTTAATCCGGCCGGGGAAGGGTGTGTGGCTACCGAAGCCACAAACAACCCCCTTCGTTGACATCATTGACATCGTGCTCGTTGGAAACAGACTCTATGGGATCTCCATGGCGGAGGACCTCTTCTCCTTCAATATAAGCTTTAGTGCCAGTGGCGTACCCATGGTTACCAATATCAAGCACCACATCAGATCAGGTGATGCTGATCCCAATGTTGAGAGCGACGTAGATGAGGCCCAAGACCATAATGAGCACAAAAAGGGGCGGCACCAGCGCAACTTGTATGACTTGAGGACTGGAGACAACATGATCATTGATGGCATCCTCTGTGACGAGTTGCCTTACGCACCCAACGATAACCTCGCCACATTTTGGTACTTGCTTGAGTCGTGTGGAAAGCTAATCATGGTGAAGCGGCAATTGCAATGGCCTAAATGTTGTTATAGCAAATTTACTCGTAAGCTGGAGGTTTTCGAGGCAGATTTAAGTGAACGCGCCTGGTTGCCGGTGTCAGCTGGGCTAGGTGACCAGGCACTTTTCATCAGTAAACGCTTCAGCAAGTCTGTTTCTGCATCTGGAGGGATAGAGGAGGATGCTATGTATTTTATCGATACGGGTGAGGTGTTCAGCGTAAAATCCCAAACTCAATGCCTCCCGGTAGAGAGAAGCATCGATTCCTGCTGGTCAACATGGATCTTCCCGCCAAGTTAGCTGTAAGAGTACATTATAAGATGTGGAAAATTTATTTTCATTTTATTATTATGTCGATTTTCACCCATTATAATTCATGTTTGCATAGAATGATCATCACAAATGCTTGTAATGCATGTTTGCTCTGGGTGATCTGCATTCATGTTTCCTTGCTTTTGATGTCACCTTGTTGACACTGCACAATCGCCGCCCACCAACACTAAGATAAAGAACCCATGGATGATGGAACCTTCATGATCTTGTTAGGTGGGAGCTCACTTACTAGCGTAGGAGACCCAAGGCAACTGCAGTAGGAGAATGTACTAACAGCCGTTAGGAAAGGGGATTTGGATGTGGAAATGTTTTTTTTGGTTCCGTATAAGGTTTTCCCCACTATCTGCAAATCTGTTAGGCGTTTGTATTCTTAGCCACCAAGTTGTAACTGGGATATATATCCCTAGTTGATCAATAAGGGCAAGCTAGAATAATCTCAATTTCTCATCCCCTGCCCTCGTGTGCCAATCCCTTTTGAGAACTCATCTCCCTTTGCTGTACTGACATGGTGGCTGACTACACCAAACACTTGCTTGAGCTCCTCACGCACGTCAAGTACATCCCAAATGATGAAGGGCGCAATATCTACACCAACGGTATTGTGGAACCTCTCAAAATGCAGGTTGAGTTGCTCAAGCCAGCCACACTCGAGGATGCAATGGACGGGACAGTCTCCTATGAGCACTTGGCATCGGTCATGTCCCAGGTTGTTGGCCCAGCCCAACCAACTCACAGGCATCACTGCCCGTACCTCTTTTACATCGAGGTCGCTGATGAGGATGACTTTAGGGATGAATACCCAACCGCTGGTCAGCTTCCGGTGTCCCTCCTCACCGTCAGAGAGTGCAAACTCATTTCCTTGTTAGACTCCGGCAGCATCCACAACTTCATTAATGAGGCGTGTGACGATCGCCAATGGTGAACACGTCTTGTGCGGGGTTCTGGAGTCTCTCGCTGTCACCCAAGCGAGTTGATCAAGAGGCCAAACATTTTTTAAAGAATACTTATCAAAAAGAATGTTTTTTAAGGTAGTATATTTTTGGAAGTGTTGTTGAGTGCTGGTTTTGTGCACATGGACCCCATGAACCCGTTGACAAAAACTCTTGTTTACACTTCCAAAAATTTTGAAAAGAATTATATATGTATCTAGATTATGTAAATGTGTGAGTAGTTTTGAATTTTTGGGTAAAAAATATCCATTTGTAATATATACAAAAAAAGAGAAAGGTATGCACATAGTTATTTGGATAGTGATAGTCTTTGGTATCCTTCTGTTATTTTTGTATACGGGTTACAAATGAGAAATTTGGGCACACAAAAAATTAATACCATTCATATATTTATACAACGTATATGTATATTTATTTTCATAATTTTTTTCTGTGTAAATGCGGGCACTCGACACCCATATGTTTTCTTTTCTTTTGTTACTTGTTAGTTTTTTTTTACAAATTGTTACTTTTTCCTATGTCGATCCCTGATGATATTACATCAACAAACTCGAAGCCAATTCTTTGCAAGTTTGCATTAGCAGTTGCTCCATAATCATGTCATCAATGGGGCGATCGGATACATTATTTTCTGTTGATTCTGCAATAATGGGTGTTGTTGTCAAACAGGTTTGTGCTGCCTGCCGTGACGTACAAGTGATTGTTTGTTTTTATTTATTGAACTGCAGACAATTTCATTGAACTTAAATATCTCTATCATGCTCCTTTGTATTGTGCTTTACTGTATATCTGGTGTGTACTTGTGGCCATTTTATTTCAGAGTTTCCAGCTCTAATGGAAATCAGACTAGTAGGCAAGTAACCTTCATATGTTCTTGAATGGTTGCACTAGCTTTTTAAATTGGCAGGGGCCGTGGCAAGAGTTGTATGTGATGTAACCCCTGCCTAAGAGAAATCTACATTTTCTTAGAAAGAAATAACTTCCATTTGCTGTTACAGTCACTTTGGTTGCCTTTATGTATGTTACCTTCCTAAGTTATCCTCCCTCTCATGAAAGATGTTATGCTTATGACAGTAAAGGTGCGAGCTTTCACCTGATGGCACTGGTACCTACCTAGATTCAAGATTCAAATTACTTACATGCTTGCTGGCTACATAAAATTGGTTGTTTTTTGTGAATATTCTTTTTTGACGGGCCTACGGCGGGCTTACGCCGGCCTGAACCATTTCATTATAAGATAGAGTACATTTACAAAGGTTGAAGTTGGGGGAGGGAGAGATTACAAAAATAGATGGGTTACAATCTCATAGATAAGTGGAACAACATAGTACACCAATCACGCAGAAGGTTCACGGCCTGCTCATTGGAGCATCTATTGGACCAAAGCATGAGGTCGTCTGCAGCTGAGCGGGCGATGAGGTGGATAGGTTGCAAATCCTGCCGAAAAACTTTTGCATTTCTTCTTTTCCAGATATTCCAGAGAATAGCAATGATGACCGTTGATCGTGGTCTGTTGGCCAGGTCCATGCCCCAAAGATGTTGAAAGTCCGACGGTATTGACGCAGCAATAGAGCTCAGTTCCTGCCAAAGAGGGCGAAGATCGGGGCATTGAAGGAATAGGTGACTCGTTGATTCAGAGGCTGGGCAGAACGGGCAGCAGTTGGAGTCAGATATGCCCCTGTTGAAGCGTCTTTCGTTGGTGAAGAGTCGATTTTTACTTACGAGCCATAGAAAAATTCTGCATTTGTTGGGTGCATAATTTTTCCAAATGGCCGGAGCGAAGTGGTCGATTGGCTTGTCGCTCCAAATAGCCTTGTAAGCCGAGTTGCAAGCCAGCGGCTTGCCGTCGATACGTCCAATTCGTTTGTCAAGTACCTGGACATTCAAGGAGACAGTTGCCAGCATAGCGCGTAGGTTTTCTAGTTCCAACTCAGCGACATGAGAAAGGCGCGGTGCCAAATCCAGATTAAAAGTAGGAATGCTTAGTACCCGGGCAACAGTGGCCGAAGGTCGGAGCGAATGGGAGAAGAGAGCAGGGAAAATTGCTGCGAGATTTTGGGTGGAGTTTTGAACCCAAAGGTCCAGCCAAAAGGCGGTGGTCATACCATTGCCAACCTGCACCTTCGTTACTGAACGAAAAAATTGAAGCCCCTTGGCCATATCATGCCAAACGCTAGATTCAAAAGGGTGAGGAGTATCAAGGTCCCGACTATCTGACCATCCATACTTGACAGCAAGGTGGGAGGAAGCCCCAGAAGCAAAAGTTGAGTGAAGCTTATTTAGGTGGGAAAGCAGTAGGCAAGAGTTTAAGTGGTGTAGAGAAGAAAAACCTAGACCCCCTCGAGAGAACGGCGCAGATACAAATTCCCAAGCCACTTTACACTGTCCGCCCGAAACTTTATCCTGACCCGCCCAGAAGAAGGCCCGACAACGTTTATCGATTTCCTGGACAATACCCATAGGAAGCCGGAGAGCGGTCATGGCATAGATTGGTAAGGCTCGAAGCACTGTCCTAACCAGAACAGCACGGCCTGCTAGGGTGAGGAGAACACCTCGCCAACCCGCGAGACGACGATCAATCTTGTCAATAATGAAGAAGAAATCTTTTATGTTTAATTTGTGGGTGGAGAGGGGAAGGCCAAGGTAGGATTGAGGGAACGATGCAACCGCGCAGCCAAAACTAGTTGCAAGTTGGGATGCGAGATCCAGATCAACATGGATGGGAGCAAACGTGCTTTTGTGAAAATTAATCACCAGACCAGTGGCGTGTGAGAATTCAAGAAGGATAGATTTTAGAGTTTGAAGTTGGTCATGGTCAGCTTGCAGAATGATAAGGGTGTCGTCAGCATACTGTAGAACCGGGCAAGGAATGCTCGGATCGATCGGGTGAGATAGAAGGCCATTAGCGGATGCCTGAAGGATCAAACGTTGCAACACATCGGCGACAATAATGAAGAGATAAGGAGAGAGCGAGTCGCCTTGGCGAAGCCCCTGTCTGCAATTGATCCATGGGCCAGGTTTACCATTAAGGAGCACAGCCGATTGGCTAGTCTGATTAAGATTATGAATCCAATCGCACCACACCGGCGGGAAGCCCTTCGCTCTCATAATGGCAGACAAGGCCGCCCAAGACACGGAGTCAAAAGTCTTGCGGAAGTCTAGTTTTAGAACGATAGCCGATTTTTTTCGTTTGAAGCAAGTTTGAACAATATCAGCAGCATATAGAAAATTATCAGCGATACCTCTCCCCTTAATAAAACCGGATTGGTCCTGGTGAATGATTGAGGAGATAAAAGGTTGAGCTCTAGTGGCTAGACACTTTGAGCTGATCTTGATGACACAATTTTGCAGGGAAACCGGCCTGAAGTTGTCGGGGGTCGTAGCTCCAACTTTTTTTGGAAGAAGCACAATGAAGGCTTTGTTGATCCTGGCTAACTCCGCGCAGCCCTTATGAAAATCGTTCATGAGGTCGAGCAAGTCAAGCTTGATAAGATCCCAATTAACTTTAAAAAAGGCTGGCCCGAAGCCGTCCGGCCCTGGGCTCGCATTTACGTTCATACTCAGAATAGCTAATCTAATTTCGTCCAGAGAGAAAGGCCTAGTAAGCGACAGAGCTTGAGAAGTGGTTAGTTTAGAGCCAAGCAAGAGGTTATCGAGATCAAAATTAATTACAGAAGGAGCTTGAGTTCCTAGTAGACAGGTGAAGTAGTCGTGCAGCACGGCAGCTTTTCCATTATGGGAGGTCACGTCCGTCCCATTGACATGCAAACTGGGAATTTTATTTTTGCGAAAACGTACAGAAGCACACACATGCATGTAAGCTGAATTTTCGTCTCCAAGAGTGCACTCTCTTATTTTTGCTCGCTGGCGCCAGTACGCAGCCAGAAGTTTGTTAAGACGATGTAAGGCGACTTTAACTGCAATGCGCAGTTTAAGTTCTAGGGAGGAAAGAGGGCGAGCCTCCTCAAGTTTGTCAAGGACGGAAATCATCGTAGTGCAGTTTGTAGCATGCTGCCT